TGTTCATATCATCCCCCAAGTATATGACCACTCAGAAGGGGGCTATAAGCACCTAGGTCTAAGTTCAAGTTACCTGTCTTCAAGGGCAAAGAGAACTCCTATTTTAATTCCAATGCTAATGAGATTAGGTATAACAGGCTCAGCAGCAACTAAAACATCTGCCCTTGTAGTGAGCAAAGAAAATTTTAAGCTGCTGAGCAAGCAGATTGAGATCTACAAACACTAGAAACCTCAATTTCTCAATTAGAAACTTCCCTAGATTCTTTAGCCGAGGTTGTCCTCCAAAACCATAGGGGACTTGATTTATTATTTCTGAAACAAGGAGGACTGTGTGTAGCTCTAGGGGAAACATTCTGTTTTTATACTAATAATTCTGGAGTTATTAGAGATAACTTAGCCCTGGTTTAAAAAAAAAAAAAAAAAAGACAAGACTCCAAGAACGGGAAGAAACTAAAGGTGAGTCCGACAATTGGTTTAAAAGTTTATTTAACTGGTCCCCATAGTTAACTACCCTTCTGTCCTCCTTCTTCTAGGGCTAAGAGTAGAACCCTGTGTTATAAGTGCTCTCACCTCTTATGTGCAAAAAAGGATACAGGCAGTGAAACTTATGGTTTTATGAACACACTACCAACATATCCATAAAGATGAATATGGAACAATGATTTGATTCCCCAAAAATCAGAAGGGGGGAATGAGATGGGTGCCCTGAGATGGGTGCCTGCTGCCCCAGCATTCCTGTAAGATGGATACTGCTTGCCACTGACGTGCACTAGGGGGCTGTATAGGATAAAAGATGAAAGGACAAAATTAAGAAATATCCTAACTCAGATGACAGGCACCATCGCTCTTTAGTAGTCCAGATCAGGGCTAGGGCAGAACAAGAACAGAACAGATGGGTCAAGTGCTGTCATCATAAGAATTAATGAGCTAAGTGCTGTCACAAATTGTTTTACTTATCCATTAGTTGCTAGATCTGCATTATGTTACCTTATTGTTATCTAACTGCCCTTTATGTTACCTATTGGCTAATCCACTGAACTGTCAGTTCACTTTTGAAAAAGGGGGTCATTGTGACCCCATGCTTGCTTTCTGCTTCTTTTGCCAATTTTCTTTTTACTTTTAATTGCTAACTTTTCAGACCACCTGTTTGGCTCATTCCCAACCTTTAGACTAGAAAAACCCCAACTTCAGACCCCTCGATGCTCTCACTTAGTCCGCTTTACACTTTGCTGAGACAGCCCTGCTGTTAATAAAAGACTCTTTTTGAAATTCTAATTTGAGTCGGTGGTCCTTATCTCACCCCACAACATTGCCCATTTGTGAGATACTTGGGGACTACCAAATGAGTACAGGAATGCCCCTCAAATGCCAGAGGGACTAGAAAACTTGTAAGTAGAAGACTGCATTGCCTGCTAGAGTAAGAAGGTTCACTATGTGGCAGTAACAGTGCATTGGCCATAGCTAAGAGCTCTGCAAGTAGCCACAGGGGCTACGTATCGGATGAAATGAAGGCACAGCAGCTGGATAAAAAATTCCTGTTGGAAAAGAATATGAAAACCTCCCTATCCATGTTTGCAATTAGCTTCAGGGATGAGTTTGAAACTTAGAAAATGCAGCTGAAAACTTTATCCTGCTATTTTGTGTACCTTGAAGGATGGAAGGTTACTCAGCCTACAGTGTGAGCATGTGAAAGTCTTATCTATCTATGCTTAACAATGTGAAAGACTGGAAAATGATAATTACACTTAAAGAATAGGTCCCCAGGGAAAAACAAAAGGATTTTTATGGGGGATACTACACTGCAGGCATAAGACTTGTAAGAAATAAATTTTAATGTACAGTAGAGAAACTAACTTTGCTTTGAGAATTTTTAAGGACAAGTTTGTATATCAACTCTCCTGAAATTATCTGCTTTAATTCCTCTTTCCATTTCCTTCTAAAGATAGATATGCACACATGCATTTCTTCCTTTATAGTGCTCCTACACAAAGTTTAATTTTAGCTTGATATATGTTGCATTCAAATCAAAACAAAATAATCTCTATGTGCTCAATAGGCCCAGAAAAGAACCATGTGCAAAGAAAAAGATCAGCTAAAATTTTATGAATAGGGTGGTGCCTATGGCTCAGTGAGTAGGG